ACTGATTTAACTGTAGGTAATAATTGGCGAGCGCCAATACTGGGGTGAGATTTATTATTAATTATGGAGGCGTCGATGAGGTCCTAGCTATACCCTGTCAGGTCGGCCTCCACGCGATTCCTCCTGGAAACAACAGTGATTAATTATTGTTGAATCCGTCATAATGGGCTAACTGACCTGGTGGTCTATCATGAAATGAAATTCTGAAATTTCGGGCTGAATTTCGTGTTTTTGTTCCCACCGAAATCGACCCAGTAAATGGAGCTTAACATTTCGTTCATCATAAATCATATCCTAATAGTCCAGAGGAACGATATTTTACCATTTTTAATAATTTTAAACGACATGTATTATGTAATTTTAAATTCAAATTTCTGTTTCGTTAGTCCCTGAAATTTCAGAAAATATTTCATGGTAGGCCCTCTGGTTTCATCTTCACCTATCACCACTCACTAGTGCCCTATCAGTGTATACCGAAAGTGCAGGCGGGGTTACCGTTCCATTATAATCCACTAAGAACTCGCCAATACTTCTAAACCAATAGTGATAAATTAATCATCGTAGGTATGTGATACCATTAAAAATGTTAACTTGCTGAATTCCGTAAACGCTCTACAGAGATAGGTCTGGACCATCTCTGTTATATGATTTGAACTTGACTCAATAACGGTATAGCGAACTATTCAACAGTCAATGGCCGACGGAGAGACGGTTTTTTTATGCCTCGAGCTACTTGACTACTTATCAACTACGTAATTATTGCGAATGTATTTATGAACCAATGTTTTAGTAACAGTCATAAAATATATTAATATAATTATTCTAAATTTATAAGTTATTGACATGATTGCAAACCTAAAACGAACCAGTTATTCAAAATCATTTAGAAGGACAAGACAAGGTTAAAATGTTTAAGGTCGGTCATTGAACAAAATTGGACACGAAATACTAAATGATACTAGAATCGATACTTGTCGTATAAATTGAAGCGTCGCTTTTCATGGACTTCATGGGTGTAGGTTTTTTTTAATGTATGAAAATGGATAATAGTAGCCCTGCCTACGCTATCAATACAGTCTGGCGGGACAGGAAGGCAGGTCAGTCGGCTTATCGAGAAGAATTCGACAAAAATTAACCGCGATGGTTTTCAGGGGGAACCGCGTGGAGGTCGACCTGATAGGTAGGACAGATATTGATAGCAATGGAGCTGTTAAAATCCATTACTAATAAGCCCTTCTCCCTCATGGGTATAGGTGTTTTTTTTTTTTTTTATGGATGATAATGGAATGGTAACCAACCTGCGCTAACGCTATTTACTGGCGGGGCACCAGTGAAGGATGATGGGTGAGGATGAAAAGGCAGGTCAGTTAGTCCATCTTAGTGATGGATTTCACCTGGAATTCAGGACGATGGTTGATGGAACACTTGGGGATCGACCTGCCAGGGTATATTGCTAGCAATAAGGTTGGTAGTCCGCATTAGTTACAATCTCTTCCCCCCCCCCCCCATGGATATAAATAGGCACTTTAATGTCTAAACGGAGAATGCTATTTATAAACAAATTTATTTTTAATCAAGGGTCTAAAACACTAATAAAACACCAGCGCGTTTCAAACCCTTGATTAAAAATAATTTAGTCTTTTTTTAACGCATGAAGACGGAATCATAAATCCGTTAATGCTAATAGCGAACAATGGCGGGTCGCCAGTAGATAATAAAGTCGGGTATTTTTTTTTTAATAGATGATAATGGACTCGTAATCTCGCCTGCGCTAACGGCATACGCTGGCGGGTCACCAGTGAGGAATGATAGGTGAAATTGAAATAGCAGGTCAATTAGCCCATCGTGATGAATACATTTGGAATTCAACACGATGGTCACCAGGGAGGGGCAGGTCGACCAGGTTGGATATATTGCCAGCAATAGGGACCTTCCTCCCAGTATTAGAAGGCAACAAACAAACTTACTTTTATATTTATAATATAAATATAAAAGTAAGATTTGGTCCAGGGTCTATTGTTAGCAACAGAGACCAGAGGTAATTTATCCGAAATGATTGACATTTCCGTTACTATTAATCCCCTCCCCCCTTATCCTCCGCCCCGCTACAGTCTTGGAGTGTTACGATATTATATACACAGTTACAGTTACGTTTGTAATTATGTAATACCTGATAGTCACGACAACCGCCTACAGGTAGACGGACAAATAAACAATGAACGCGGGGGGCGCCGACCGATCGAACCCGGGACTTTATTTACGCAAAACTACGTATCCACCTATGAGAACGTCACGCCATATCGATTCCTAGAGTTGCCATACATCATATAAACACTTCTTCTAAAAATAACAAACTATTTATTTCAGTACTTAAAGCGAAATTTCCATTGATAGTTTGCTGTCGTCGGACGTACGGCGCGCCCACAAACAATTTACATCATTGCGCGCCGACCTCGCGGGTCAAGTTATTGATATAGTTTATACTATGATGTAACTCGTATAACGAAACGAGTACTTTTATTCTGTACCTACACTACACGTGGGTACGTTTGTATTATCCGGCTTTAAGAATGGACGACATGTTGATCCACGTTTTTATTGAAAAAAAAATCACTGTGATATATATTACATAAGATTTATAATCATTCACCATCATATATTGTGAATGTGAATAACCTATGCATTTCTAAGTATTTACTTAGAAAAAGGTTCCGTAGCCGAAAAATATTGAATTTTCTACCCAGTGGCGTAATTATACCATTTGGGGCAAATGCTTTTAATGGGGCCCTATCAGTAAAAAAAAAATACTTTTCAAATAAAATAAAATATTCAGGTACAAAGTAAAAAATAAAAGTCAAGACTCGCCACCTCTTGAGCCGGGGCCCTTTTGGGTCGGGGGCCCGTGGCATTTTGCCAGCCCTGCCACCCTATTGTTACGCCACTGTTTCTACCAGTAGATATTAAGCAACTATCTTACCTAACCTTTGCGTAGTGTAACCTCCACAAAAGATTGACTTTAAACTTTAGTTATACCCTAAAAATCTTGTATTAAGTAGAGTAGCTTTCAATAAATAAATAGATAAGTACTATGCATGTCTACGTCTAATTATTGTAATCACTATAAAAACATAGGTATGAAGAGTTTATAAAAAATATTAAACAACCTCCCTATTGATGTTATGTATTACGCGCGACGATCTTGAACGATTTTTCTTTATATAAGAAAGTCACTCATTCATACAAGATATTACATACGTGTACAAGACTTGCGTCAAGTACAAAAACCAAATTATAGCTCTGTAACAAGATATATATTTACATATGATTACCTAATAAGTAATCTTTGTATAAATAAATCTGAAATCGTAATGTGAACAATTATCTAACAGATACGTACGTAGATAGCTACCTACTGTAGATGTCTAAAAATATAGTAATTAAAAACGAAGGGCATTAATATAAGTTATCTATATTTGATATATTAATAAAGATCTTGCATGTTTTGTTATAAAAATGCATTATAAAATATACTTACTAGATTCTTTTTACTAAGTATATTTTGAAGGCATTTCACTTAAGGGAAATAGACTCGATTGAAATGTCAAATAGAAAGAAATACTTAACATATTTTTTTATTACTTAAATTGTAGGTATACAGACCAAATATACATAATAATAGTTTTATAAATTTAGAAAAGAACTTTCATACAATTTACAATAGGCAACATGCCAATTTGTAGAGTATCTTTATTTATAATTGCTTGCCAATTACTTAAGAACAACAATGTAAAATTATGCAATTTAGATATTTAACAAAATCTCAATTTGTAAATAGCCCAATACAAAAATTGTTTGGATATATGATTTATTCCCCTCTAAGTACATTACTATCTCCATGAGTTTTTATTATAAAGGCCACATAATAATGAATTAACTTTTCCATATATAGATTTAAACTTACACTAAAAAAGTACAATTAAATTCATAGGCTAATTCAACAAGATCACTGTATATTAATAAAGCAAATAAACTTCTTATATGAACTAAAACTGCATTTGAGATACATAATAAAAAGACATTTTACAGTAAACAAAACATAGTGTCTTTTGAGAAGATAATCTAAAACTAAATATTATCAGATAACTCCATCTTCACTAAGAGTGGCAGGTATTCCATTAAAATACTATAAAAGTATTAATTAAAAATAAAAATCCCCAACACAATTAGATATTTATCACACATGTATAAATTTGTTTAGGTGCACAATTTCTGAGAACACTTTTACATTGTGATTTAAAAAAAAAGTAATTTCTATGAAATATTTTTTTAATCACAAATGTCTCAACTAGCACATTTAAGCCTACAAACAAAAATGTATGAATTGAAAACTCAAACAGATAACTACTTTTTTGTGTTGGAGGTTAAAAACAACAGTAAATTTATCTAGATACTAATAATAAATGCTTAGTTACAGATAGGAAAGTATATTTCATTCAAAATATGGCAAAATTGGATATTATGTTGATTCCATTTCCTTAAAAATATATTTAATGAAATAATATAAAAAAAAAATTACATCTTTTTAATTTGTTCAATTCCTTTGTCTATTGCCCAAATCTATTAATTACAAAATAAATTTATTGCAAGTTTTATGTTTTTTGAGTATCTTTTCTTACTACCTTCAAAACATTAACATAATGTAACATAAGCAGTTCATATGTTACAACACAAGGAGCACTGCAGTAAAACAACCTGGCAATGAAAATGAGAATATAAAATTCATTTCAATTCAAACAAAATTAATTACTTATTATAAGTTGGAGTTACAAATTCAAAAAAATATAATTCATTACCTTTTGCAAAATTAAGTAGTTACATGAAATGTCTAATTATATTTAAATATAAATTTATTTCATTTAGCATACTCCTAACACTCCATTACAACAATGTGTCACATTTCTCATTTGTGTTAATCTTTCATTAGTACCTTTTATTAAACATAAACAATTCTACAAACTAAGTAAAATAAAAATATAAAAACTAATATGGAACATTAGAGAAGAGATATGATACAGATTCCCCATTGTGTGTACGCCTCACAGCCTCTGCTAACATCATTGACACATCAATACACTGGATCTTGGGGCACTCCTGCATGTGCCTTTCTTGAGGAATCGTATTTGTTACCACAACTGCTTCTAAACATGCGTTATTGATCCTCGAAATCGCTGGCCCCGAAAATATGCCATGTGTAAGAATAGCATACACTTTTACAGCACCTGCTTCAATTAGCTTTTCTGCAGCATGACATATAGTGCCACATGTATCTGCCATATCATCAACCAGAATTGCTGTGCGGTCCTTCACATCACCAACCAACACCATACAAGCCACCTCATTGGCCTTTTTCCTTTCTTTATGAATGAGAGCAAATTCTACATTCAAACGATCTGCAATGGATGTAACCCTTTTAGCACCACCAGCATCTGGAGACACTACAATACTAGTTTTCCAGTCAGGAATGTTTTCTTTTATCCATTTCAACACAGCTGGTTCAGCAAAGAGGTTATCCACAGGTATATCGAAAAATCCTTGTATTTGGGAAGCATGAAGATCCATAGTGATGATATGGTCAGCACCAGACACCGAGAGAATATTGGCGACGAGTTTAGCTGTAATTGGAGCTCTACTCTTATCTTTTTTGTCCTGACGCGCGTAAGGGAAACAAGGTATGACGGCGGTCACTCGCGACGCTGATGCAATTTTGCAGGCATTTATCATAATTAAAAGCTCCATCAAATTATCGTTGATTTCACCACTGCCACTCTGAACTATGTAGACATCTTCACCGCGCACGGATTCGCCGATTTCGACGCATGTTTCCATGTTGCTAAATTTTTTTGTCACCACCTTTCCTAAATCAATGCCGAGGCGATCCACGATTTTCTGTGCCAAGTCCGGGTGTGAACTTCCACTGAAAACTTTGATGTTCGGCATCCTGGTAGTTAGAGGTAGTGCGTGGTTGTCTAATTTATTCACTACGTCCTCGAGGTTTACCGTTGATTTCATTCGCACGAGAGACCGACACTAAACAACCTCTCTACCGTCAACAACGTAATGTGCGACGATAGCAACAAGATGAACTATTTAATAAAATTATCAATGACTTTATCACAAATCAGTGGCTCTGACAACGTGGGCTGAGGACCGCCGCGTAGCGACGTAACTTAAATACGCATCACACTTCACGCGCGTTTCTTCACCTTGCCTCGGTAACAAGAGTTGCAAGTTTTTTTATTGAAATTGAATAGAATTCCCTCGCTCGTAATTATGTAGATTCGCATTTAAGTTAAGTATTGCCAGATAAAATATACTGGAATTCATCAAAAATTGAACCCCGTGTAACTTAAATTCGCCTAAATATTTTTTACTGTAATATAGCCTATTCTACCCCCCTTCACACATACTCTTGAAAAACTGATTTCAGTTGTGACAAAACTAATTATTTTTAATTAAAAACTAAACTGCCGAACGAATTTTGATATAATTTCCATGAAACATTTTATATTTTTATACACATACTTATAAATTAAGTATGTACATAAAAAATATAAAATCATATAAAAAAAATAATTTTCCAAATCAGTTTATTACTGACGAAGTTATGAAGTAATAACCAAAAAAATGTAAATGAATTGAAAAGCTTTTTGAAACCAGTACAGCCATATATAAATATTTTTAATAACAAAACTTGAAGGGGAGAAGCGACTATTACTAATGTGTTATATTCCGTGACTCCGCCCACGTGAATCGATACATAAAGTATCTTATGTGCTAAGTTAGAATATAACCTACCCGTGTATCAAATTTCATTAAAATCTGTTTAGTAGTTTTTTCATGAAATAATAAACATCGATTCATCCATCATTACAAACTTTCGCATACGCCACCTATTTGCCACCATTTCTAGCAATAATGGTATTTCGTAGAAACCATTATTTTGTGATTCATTATGATGAGCCAACTGATCTGATTTTATCGTCACCCACCATATTTTAGTTCCACTGGTGTCTGCTCGACATATATTGATATTAAATCTTACGTTGGCCACCAAACAATTTTGTAGTAGACATGGCCCACCTGGTACCTTCTTGAAATATGCCTAAGGTTACCATTAAATATGTCAAATCAGATCCACAAGAATTAACCACGATAATTTCGAACCACGCGGAATAGGACCTAATAGAGTATATTGTTAGCAATGGGGCTGTTAGACTCCATTATTAACAATCCCTTCCTCTCTAAAAACATATTCTATAGTATTTTTTTTGTTAGGAGTATGAGTTATGGATATATTTGTGTCTTATCTATAATGATGTCGTTATTAAGCATCTTATTTGCTGTAACTTTTTATTCTGCATAATATATCTATTTTCAAATTTAATATTGCTTTTTGTTCTCTACTTTAATACTCTCTCTACGCCGAACACCTACCAATTAATCATTATACTTAAATAGCCTGTCGCAGTCTGTTGAAAGTCTTTCTAATCTGTGCTACAGAACACCTTTGCTCTATTACATCTGTGCTATTTATTTTGACATTTAAGGATTTTGAAATATTTATTTCCATTTCAGTTAAAGTTTTTGATTCTTTTTCTTTTTTATTTTGATAAATTATATACCTATATGTTGTAACCTACTACAATGTTGATTCGTTTAATTTTAAAGTGAAGTATATTTTAAAACCTTTTTAAAAATGGAGAAAAAAATAAATGGATTACCTGAAAATGTTGAGAAGTCTAATCATGGTCAACAAAAGCTTATTCGCTGTATGGACTGGCTGCATAAACAAAACAGCCTAGAGCCAAAAAAACAATTTCAGCAGAATAAAAATGATATACAGTTCATAATACAAACAAATGCAGACAGGAAGAACTTTCTATTGTCGGTGGCCGAAGACGAAGCAACTGTCCCCGCAGGAGTGAATGAGCCCGCTGCCGAACCTAAGAATGTGGTATGTTAATTTTAAGTTTTCTAATCTTTTCAAACCACCATTATTATTTCACAATTGGGAATTTCCAACGACCACCGCTTGCTTTGTTTTTTTACTTGTTATTCTTGTTTTTATTTCCATTTGTGATTTCCATTTATGTATGTGTTAATATGGGTATCTCTTAATTTGGCTACTGTTTAGAAATTTGCTAGTTGTTGCAATGATAATTTGCTATATTATATTCAATATATAATCTAGTCTAAATATACATGTTATCTAAGGTCTGGCAAGAAAGATTTGCAGATAGGCTGAGAGGTAATTTAGTATCATTATGTAATTAGAGAATATATCCAAACAGCTTGATAATCAAATTAATTATTCAAAAAGGAACACAGTACAGAAAAATAAACTTATAAATAGCTAACAAATACAGTGGATTTTTTTTATTACCACCTTCGATGTAGTGGCTATTTAGCTATAGCAATATTAAATCTAAGTCCCATGAATTTGGAGCATTCTTTAGTATAAAATTCATGTGACTATAATGATTTTGGATGTAACACCAAGTTTGGGTGTAGCAACTGTTTTTAATGAATAATTTGTAGTAATTTCTTAGAAATCCCATGCAGTTATTGTAGCTAGAGTAGGCTGTTAAAGACACAAGGAGCCTTCTTTTGTTTACATCCACACAGATGGTCAGCAACTGTGGTGACATTTATCCTTTGTTTATAGATATGTATTAGCTAGGTAGGTAGGTACATACTTAGTGTATGTTTGAGATTTAATTTATGGTTCAACTACAAATTGATATTCTGAGTAGCAAGTGTGTTTAGTAAGCTTTCGAATATGTATAGCTCCTAGATTCCTTTGCCTGTAATAGCTTCCAGATAAAACATTAAAATTACAGTGATCCCTTTATCATTGTTATACCTGAAATCCACTGTATATGAATGTTCTATTCAGTATATGTATTTTATGGTTACTTTGATTAATTTAGAAAGATGAGTTATTAAGTGTTCATATCAAAGTTTACTGAAGTATGGAAATGTCAAAAACATCAATTAATTTTCCAACATTATAAGACAATTATTAATAGGTATAGGTTATATGTCTATTCTCTAAATGTAATATGGTCTGTACTATTTGTTTTGTAGAGATGTATATTTCCAATGGCTCAGTTATAACTGACTATATTAATAAATAAAAATTATTTTATAGACAAATACAGTATACTAAGACAAAAATGGTGGGCAACATATTAACCTAGTGTTTGTAAAAATGTGCTGGTTCTTGTTATTATATATTATTATTTATATTATTTGTAAGTAAAATTGCCATCTGTTGACTTGCTGTATTATATATATTTTGTTCTATGTCAATTGTTTATCAATTTTCTTTTTTTTTTTTTTATAAACAACTACAATTGTCATTCTAATTTTAATTTTTTAGTAAACCAACAATTTATTGCATTACATGCATAAACATAGATGTGATTCTATACTATCCATCCATTGAACATAAATACTCATCTTCACATGGGGCCTCCAGGCCTCAGTTTTATTTATTTATTATCTAATTAAAAATAATGTGAATTGCTTATTTGAAAAAAAAAGTATTGGTATTGAACTTTTATTTAATGGAAAGAAAAGTCTTTAATTAATTTTTCATTATTATTATTATATAAACACAATATAAGAGTTTATTTTTCTATTTGAATAAATACATGGTAATGTATTATATGTAAATTGTTTACATGGTAATTAGTAAATATTTTTGTCTATAATTTGTACTTTCAGTTTTTATGGTTAATTGTAAAATCAATTTTAATAATAAAATTATTGTTTTTTTATTAATGGTAGCAGATGAAACAAAATAATTTTAATCTATCTAATCAGTGATATGTACTTCTGCAAAATAACTTTAGTAAAAAATAAAAAATAAATCAATAATGGTAAAATTGTGCCATGAATTGTTACAATAACCTTTATTAATATGTTTATCCTGGTAAGGTTATTGACACCTCAGATACAGTATGTTTCCATTCTAGTTGTTCTTATTCTAGTGTCACAAACATTATTTGTATGCTGAGATATATGTATATATATATAAAGAATTAATATATTAGTAAAAATTATCAAACATGTTCATGGAGCTCACAGATATGAATGATGAGGTAATGATTGCCATTTTGCATTTTTTTTTATGGATGATAATGAATGCACTAAGGTATACACTGGCAAGGCACCAGTGAGCAAAGATAGGTGATGATTACAGCAGGTCAGTTAGTCCATCGTGACAAATTTCACTAGAATTAATCACGATGGTTTCCAGGGGGAACCATGTGGAGGTCGACCTAATAGGATGTATAGCGGGCAATGGGTCAATTAGATCCAATTACTAACAATCCCTTTTCCCCCTGCTATTTTCCATTAGGTTTGTTTACCATATTAAATATTGTAAAAAATAATATGATTCTTAATAAATATTATATATATTATGTTTCCAGCCATTACATAAATTACGTGTGGAGAACCTGAAGTTAGAGTGTGAGTGGCAGGCTTGTCAGTGGCACACTAGCAACTATGATATGTTCCAGAAACACATTAAAGGTCACATTTCAAAGGTGCATGTCATAGAAAATGATGGAGGTGGTAAGTGAATTTTATTCATTACTATGATTTCAACAAAATGACCCGATTGATTGGTTGGGATAAATAGTTGCCTAAATATATAATAGTGTGTGTGCTATACTGAATTTTATGAATGATTACTTGATTGGACAGGATGGACAGAATATTGATTAAGAGGTAACAAACAAATAAATTAACATTTATAATCTTTGTCCAAGATTGGACCACTTTTATACATTTCTGTTTATGGATTTAAATTTTATTATTTTTTCTATCATCATCATCATATCAGCCTTTAACTGTTTTTTAGCTGTACACAGTGGACTTTGGAGATGATTTAAGAGGGACTTTGTTGCCCATCGTTCGCCCTCCTTTAGTCGCCTCTTACGACACCCACGGGAAAGGAAGGGGTGGCCTATTCTATGCCGGGACCACATGGCGAACTTTTTTTCTAGAATGTGTCATTTTTCTATTGTTTGATCTTTCACTGTTCGTTTCACCTTTCCATATATACTGCTGCTATCCATTGTTTTCCTATCTTCATTTCTAACCTTATTAACAATAAATTTAGTAGGATTTGTGCAGGTTCATTGAATGGTCTAGGGGAATTAAAATATTTTGCAACTTTTTTCTTGGTTTTTATATTCATAAATATATTTTCTTGTTGCTTACTCTAGGAAACTGGAACTGGGCAGTAGAAACTTACTGGAATATGTTCTACCACAGGGAAACTTTATGTAAAAGTCATTTGCTTTGATATCTTTGTCTTGTTCATATTTCTGCCCTAAAATAGTTGTGTTTACATAACTGTGTTTCAGTTTGCAGGGTGGGATATAGCATTGAAATTAAAGAGTACAGAGGCATAACATCTTAGACCGGGGGGAAAAGGATTGTTAGTAATGGAGACTGAGAATCCCATTGCTAGCAATATACCCAACCAGGTCGACCTCGCTGTTCTCCCTGGAAACTATCATGGTTGATTTCTGATAAATTCATCATGATGGGCTAACTGGCCTGTTTTCATTCTCATCTATCACCCTTTACTGGTGCTCCGCCAGCGTATCCCGTTAACGCAGGCGAGGTTACCATACCATTTTCACCGATCAAAAAAAAAAAAAACATTTTAGACCTCAGGAATGATAACTCGTGAAGGTACATCATAGGCATATGACAAAGTATACTGTGTTATATGCATTAGTATTGTTCATATCTATAGACGAGTTACCACTTTCCATCAAATGGGTCGTCAGCTTGTTTGCCATTTTAATTCGAAATTAATGGATCTACGCAAATAGTTTTGTTTTTCTTTAAATTACGACTTTTTTTTTATATTATTTTAATTAAACTATTTTTATTTTTAAATATATTTTCAGTGGAATTTGTTTGTCTGTGGGATGTGTGTGGTCACAAAACATCAGATTTGGAGGAAATGACCCGGCACGTCAACTTTCATGCTTATCATGCTCGTTTGCTTGCTATCGGCTTCAATGCCCGTGCCACACTGAAATTATTGAGTTGCAAGAAGGATTCCACCAAGAGGAATCAGTTGCCACCATTGAAGAGCAAGCATTGCTGCATGTGGATTGATTGCAATTGCACTTTTAATGCTATACAGGTATTGTATATTTTATAATGTCACCTAGAGCAGCTAGGAAGAGATTGAGAGAGAGAGTGTGTAAGAGACACTATACTGTGCTTTGAAAGCATCCTCAGCTACAAAGTACTTACTCCAGATAGGTACCTGATACCTGGGCACCAGTGAGAAATGATAAGTGAGGATAAAAGCGGGTCAGTTAGCTCATCGTGATAAATACACCTGGAATTTAGCACGCTGGTTTCCAAGGGGTACCACATGGAGGTAGACCTCGTTGGGTATTTTGATAGTGAAGGGGCCCTTAATGTCTAATATTAACAACAAAGAATCCTCCCCCCCCCCCCCCCCCAACTTCTATCTTTGTCAAACCATCAAGTTATGGTACTCCCTTCTGGGATCTGTGTTTCCTGCAGATTAACTTAGATTTCTGAAGGGAAAAGGATTTTTAGTTGGTTTAACTGCCCCCCCCCCTTGTTAGCAAAGTAGCAGTTCCCCCTGGAAACTATCGTGCTTAATGTTGAATTTGTTATGACTACGGCTAGCTGACTTACTTCATTTTCACCTATCGTTTCTCACTGGTGTCCCGCCAGTGTGTATCGATAGCGCAAGTGGAGTCACTATTTAATTTTCATTTATTAAAAAAAACGGGGATTTTTTAAGAGCCATATTAGCCCTCAATCTCCGAGTGTAATTTTGTTCACGCACAAACTCTATAGAAGGTCGTGGAACTTCTAGTAGTAACAGTGGCAGTCAGGCATTGAGTGTTAGCACACACATACTAATGGCAGCGGAATTAAACGAAATAATTGTAATGAAATAACCAGTGATATGTACTTCAACAAGATAACACCTAGCAAAGTAAAATATTTTCTAAGCCATTTGTGATTGCTTTGCAGGATTTTTTCGATCACATGAGGTTGCATGTGAATCGCTGTGAAACATTCGTGTGCTCGTGGGCGGGATGCGGAGCCAAGTTTCCTCGTAGGGTGCTCCTACAGATGCACGTCAGGTCGCACTCGGGAGAGAAGATTATAGCCTGCTACCACTGCGGACAACGTTTCTCATGTAACAGAAAGTTAAGCGATCATCTGAGACGACAGGTATTATGACTTTTTAATGATTTTATGAATAAGAAAGAAGGGCTATTTATTAATTTATTTATTTTAAAAGGGTTGTAACTGTTTGAGTAAATACAGATATTAATTTTAATCGATATATAAGGCTTGCATTTTGCATTTACACCAATTACAGATGCACACAACATTTTCTTAAAACATAGATTTCACATTAATAACAATTGATACTAACAAAACAATTAAAAAAAAATATGACATACAAGTGACAGTGACAAGATAAGAATACCAGAGGGAGACTTTGTACAAAAGTCGATTGCTTGGGTACCTCTGTCCCATTCGTGTTTCAACCGTGAAGCAGCTGTGTTTGCATGGCTGTGTTTCGGTTTGAAGGGTGGGATATGGCGTGAATTTACTGGGTACAGAGGAATAACACTTGAGTCCTCAGGAATGGCAACACATGGGGGGTATCATGGGCGAAACAGTATACTCTGTTATGTCCATGGTATTGCTCATGTCTATAGGCAACGGTGACCACTTTCCATTAGGTGGACCGTCAGCTTGTTTGCCATTCTAAATTGTATAAAAAACAAAAAAACTAAAGTAGAATTATTAAAACAATTATTAAAGTTATTGAAACAGTGTACACAGAATCAGGTAATAATACTTCATTATAAAATTCATGGTAAATATTATGGGAGAATTTTTAATATTTTATTCCTGAATGCTTTGGGAAACAGCATATTGGATTATTGTTCTATAAGGATTAGATTGCCAATGAGCAGATTAGATAAAGAAAAAAAAAGAATCCCTTGGAATGGTCGTAAAATATATTAAGATTGAGAGACTTATTACAGGTATTGTATTTATTGATTAACCTCGAGCCAGAGGTATGCAATTGCAAATTAGTTTTGTGTCTGGGGATTTTAAAGATGGCTATGCATTTGTTACGGGCATTTAATTTAAGAGCACGTTCTAGTAGCCCTTGGCACATTGATGATTCATTAACTTAGGCTATGGATAAATTGAGGGAGGGAGTCAGTGGATGCAGGTGGCTTAGGATCGTTCTTTATGGCAGTCTATGGGGGAGGACTGTGTCCAGCAGTGGACATGATAATGGCTGAAATGATGGTGATGATGTACAAATTGAGCATAGTATTCTATTTTTGTAGAGATGCCTAGAATACATGTTGTGCTACATGTAGAATACTTGATAATATTGAATGTATAATCTGATACTGTAGTTATTTATTTATTTATTTAAAGGAACACCAACAGCATATTGTATTATAACACATATTATATAAAATTAAACAAACAAACAAAAATAAAAAAAAAAACAAACTTTAAATATAATACAATATTAATGCACATGCCTATTAAAGGTATTCACAGCATTTGTTTTAAAATAATTATACAGTGCTAGAAAATGAATTAACAATTATAATGAATTAAATAACACTAGACTACAAATATTTTAAATGTTGCGTTGTTAGTTATAGAAATATACATGTAACCTAAGTTGTGAGCAATATCAGTAAATACGATATAAATTAATTAAGTTATTATATATATATATATATATATATATATATATATATATATATATATATATATATATATATATATATATATATATATATATATATATAATTAGAGATATATATATCTTTATATATATAGATTATTAGAGTACATTATTACATTATTGTGTTTTAGCAATTTATTCATGTAGAAATTCGAACTATCATGCATTATATCGATTTCAAGTAATTTGGAATTAATTTTATTGTATGACGATGAAATCCTGGCCAGAGGTTGATGCAGTCCTAGGTTTGTTCTGTAGCGCGGTAAACTGAATGCTCTAGTTATAGAGTGTCGAAGATAATTTAGAATTGTATGTATAAACATGAAATGTGTAATGATGTGGTTGAAACTGGTAGAACGTGTACCCGAACTCGGGGTACCGGTGCTCGGCGTGCGGCGCGTGGTGCGCGACCGAGTACCTGGTGCGCGAGCACGCGCGGCAGCACGTGTCGGCGTACGCGTGCGCGCTGTGCGACATGTCGGCGCCGTCGCCGGCCGCGCTCGCGCACCACGTGCGCTACCGGCACCTGCGCGGGCCCGGCGCGCGCGCGCACGCCTGCCCGCACTGCCCCTACAGGTACCGTTGCCACTTACCACTAACGGACTCGTCGGGGCCGGGGGGTTGTTAGTAACGGAGACTGCAACTTTTTTCTTGGTTTTTATATTCATAAATATATTTTTCTCAAACATGCTTGGAATTATGAGCATTATTTTGACAACCTTCTTCGAGATAAATCAAAATTGCCGTACTGGCCATATATATGCGTGCAGCGATAAATTATTATGTAAACTCATATCTGTCCTGTAATTTAAAAATGGAATGACCTTTTACTTTGAAACATGGCTACCAAAGAGGTAATTAGTAAAAGGTTCTATTTAAATTTCGAACTGGCTTGCAAATAGAAAGCTGTTTATTGAAAAAAAAAAAATAAAGGAACATCATGGCGCGCGAAAAATTGTTATTGTTCGTTATTCGTCATTGATCTTAAAAAGTAAAATTTGTTTTTGATTTCCGCGCATTGTTTGAGAAAAGTACTATACAAGCCTTGGCCACAACTAGGCATTTAAAAACTCACGTATGTTTGCCACGGCTGCGTCATCTGCTTTGATATCTTTTCTTGTTCGTCCATCAATGCCTCAGTTTACGCTGTGTTTCGCTGCAGTAATGTACTATTGAAATTGTTGCTTACTCTTAGGAAACTGGGTAGTAGAAACTTACTGGAATATGTTCTACCACAGGGAAACTTTATGTAAAAGTCATCTTTGCTTTGATGTCTTTGTCTTGTTCATATTTCTGCCCTAAAATAGTTGTGTTTACATAGCTGTGTTTCAGTTTACTGTACTAAATCAACGAATGTATATATTTGCTACTTTTAAATCCCTTTAATTTCCTATCTTCTGTTTTGCTACCCACAATCATATATTTTATATACCGCTATACTACTTACAAGTCAACGAACCAAAAACTACCAAAATTCCTCCAAACATATTTCATTTCTTTCCAAAGTTTCAAGTATAAACATTTTTTTTACTAATATTTCTTTTATTAATATTTTCCAGAGCGGTGACGAAATGGGATCTACAGAAACACATACCAACACACACGCATAAGAAACGGAAACGGCCCAAATCAAAGAAGTCTTCAGACATTGAAAAGTCTTCGGAGATTGATAGGTCATCAGATGTAGACAGTGATAAAGATCCGTCTGAAGAAGAGAACTCCGATTTAGAAGTACAGAAGAATGATAAGCCGAAGAAGAAGTACGCGTGTCACATGTGCCCGGAGAAGAATATGAAAATATTCTCCAGAGGGACAAGGTTGACCACACATTTGGTCAATGTTCATGGCGCACAATGGCCGTTTGGGCATAGCCGATTTAGGTAAATAATTATTTTATTAATCAATCAACATTTTTAAAAGCTTAATAACTCTTCTCTATTCAAAAATTTACCACAAATGTTTTTCAAAAAATTAATAAGGTTAACAAGATTTTTATTAAGAGGAAGACAGAAAGAAACACATGGATAGATAAATTTAATTGAATATATTGTACATCGCCCTCTAAGCACAGGGGTGTTATGGTTGAGAGTAAAGTAGGATAGACAACAGATAAACAAAGTAATAAATGTGAATACATTATATAATACAGAATAATAATATTAATAATATTTATTAATTTATATGTTTTTGTACATTCATTTATAAATTATAGGTTATAACAAAAATGCACATAGTTGGACTTATCCCTTTTTTTATTTATTTATTTATTAAATACAAAAAAAAAAATTACAACAGCGAGTACATTGGACCCCGCACTAGGAGAACCTGTATCGCGGGAGTCCATATGAGATTACCAAGACACGGTGATTTACAAATATAAATTAAATTCAAAGAGATTTCTTCCAATCAATCTTGAGAATCCAAAAGGAGAAAGTTATTTTTGTAATTACATCCAAAAAACTCGGTGTGCTCAATAGAGCGAAGCATTACTTCACGCCGGATCAGCGATTAATGCTTTACAAATCGCAAATCCGGCCCCATATGGAGTATTGCTGTCACTTATGGGCGGGAGCACCTAGATACCAGCTTGAACCTCTGGTATTGCAGGCGTTCATAGGCTACGGTAACCGCTTACCATCAGGTGGGCCGTATGCTTGTTTGCCACCTCAGTGGTATAAAAAAAAAAAAAAATTACATGTAAATTATATGTTGGCAACACTGAAATACAAACAGAATTTCTTATTTATATAAATGTTTGTGTTGTTCAGATATTGATTTTGCAATCTCTGGAAAGTCTAAGATTATCACATTAAAGTCAGATTTTTTCCTGTATTTAGACGATTATATTTTTATTATTTAAAGCCCTAAATTATTTTTGATATTGTGCAATTGTTTTTTACAGATATCAAATAAGCGAAGACGGCATGTACAGGTTAACAACGACTAGATACGAGTTTTTGGAGGTTTCCAAAAAAATTGTCGACGGCTATAGCTGGCCTAAAGGATCTCTCAACAATGAATTCGAGTTCGATTTGAAACAAGTCTCCGAAGCCACGGAGACTACGCCTAAGAAATTCGAAATTGTTTTGAAAAATGCCAATGGGGAAGATGGTGAAACGGAGGTGAAGGAAGAATCAGAGACAAAGGTTAAAGACAATGAGGAAGCCTGTAGTAATGCAGTCGAAATTACAATGTGTGATGTGGATGAACATGGAAATATAATAAGTTCAGAAGTAATCAACTCACATAAAATATAAGGTACATTTATGTGAATAATATATTTTTTTATTAAACTTAGAACGGCAAACAAACTGGCGGCCCACCTGATGGAAAGTGGTAACCATCGCCTATAGACATGAGCAGCATCATGGACATAACAGAGTATACTGTTTCGCCCATGATACCCCCATGCGTTGTCATTCCTGAGGACTCGGGTGTTATTCCTCTGTACCCTGTAAATTCACTGCCATATCCCACCCTTCAAACCGTAACACAGCCATGCAAACACAACTGCTTCACGGTAGAAACACGAATGGGACAGAGGTGCCCAAGCAAATGACTTTTGTATAATCTCCCTCTGGTATATACTACTATTACATATATATACATTAGAATTCTATGTAGGATAAGCTCGCAGCAGCAGAAATCAGATAGATAGATACTCTTTATTGTTTCCTCCAAAAGATCAATAGTAAACTTATTATAGATACAAACAATTACAAGAAATGATCATAGTGAGAAAACAATGGGTGTCCTTATAGCTAGAAGTGATCTCTTCCAGGCAATTAGTATTCAGGCATTCTCTATAATCTCTCGGTGCAAGAATTGTCGTTCCCTATGCTTTTATTATAGTCAATTTTAAACCATCCCATTTTTAGTACACATTATTAATAAGAATTTTTGGGTTTTTACATGATTTATTTTATGGTGAACGCAATATTTACCTCATTCAACATTTCGACTAGGTTTTTTTTTAAATGGATTTATAATGGTTTGGTAACCCTGCCTGCGTTATCGGTATACGCTGGCAGAGCACCAGTGAGGGATGATAGGTGACGATGAAAGCAGGTCAGGTAGCCCACCGTGACGAATTCCATTAGAATTAACCACGACGGCTTCCAGGGGGAATCACGTGGAGGTCGACCTGATAGGGTGTATTGCTGGCGATGTGTCAGTTAGACATTACTAACAATCCCTTTCCTCCTTTCGACTAGGTTGCCCTAGCTGTGGTTACGAGCAGGTCGGAGTACAGCAATTTTATTCCCGATAGATGGCAGTAATTTCTTCAACTACTATTACTGGATTGCCTTAAGTTTACTTGCTGATGACTCTTGACTGATGGTGCTTAAAATCGTGTTATCTGGAGAAATCAAGTTAATAAACTCACACTTGTCAACTTGTCATTTGAATTTACTGTTGATTCGTTACTGTTACCGTTATTGTGCATATATCGTCATAGTCGTAGAATACTGACAGATCTGACAAATATTACATATATAGATCCGTTAGTATTCTGCGACTATGGCCATATGTACAACGTGAAATACTGACAGAATAATTAATATGCCTGCAAAAAGGCGTAACACGTTTGTTTTTAATAAAATTAAATTTATATATCAAAAATCTCGTATCACGGAGTTCGTGGTCGTACTCCTCTGATATGGCTAGACCAATTTTTATGAAATTTTTCATTCATATTTGGTAGGTATAAGAATAGGTTTTAATGGATTATTTAATGGAGGATGCTTTTGTACCTAAATTATATGGCAGAACATTTTCTCTAGATAAGACCTTATCAGTCTGAACATAAGCCTCTCCCTTGGGGGGTTTTGCCGGTAGTTGCCACGCTTGGTAGGCAGTTAAGCGACTGCGGTTGTCAATCCAATGATTAGATATGTTTTAAGAGGGACGTTGCTGCCAATCTCTTGCCCGCCCTTAGTCTGCTCTTACGACAATCATGGGAAAAGAAAGGGTGGTTTATGCTGGGACCACACGACCATTAAAGGTTATAATTACTTAATAATAATTTATTAAAATAATCAACTAAATTACTTCACTACGTTAATACATCATCTATTCCTAAAGATTTCTCAAAGCTCGCGAGTTGTATTATTTTTTGTTTGGCAAGTATTCGTTTTAGGATTGCTAATGCCAAGTTATGGCCTGTAGCCATTATGAAATACATTGGTCCATTCCATATTGTTGTACCATATGGTACTTTGTTGTCGGATATATTTTTAAGTAGAATTAGGGATATTTCTTTTATGTCGATGACTTTAATGGAATCTTTCTATGTATAATGTTAACCAGGCACAAAAGTGAGGACTTTCAAGAGAAATCATAAAAGACTATCGTAACGGATATTTATGTGAATTTTTAAGATTACATATATATATTTTTATTTTAGAAATAAGTATCATATCTTTTACTTATGTAGATAAAAATGAATTCATAAACGCTATAGCATATATTCGTATGTAAATTTGGATCCCCTTACCTTATCACTTACTTAACAAGGTATTATTTTGGGACAGGCTGCACACTGGCATAGGGTTTTATTTTGATGTCATGTTTTGCATGGATTCTATCTTGTGGGGGGGAGGTAGGGGTCCGAGGCGGGGGGGGGGAGTAGAGTAAATAATCTACAAGAAACTCAATGCTCAATGGTATGGTAATACATATTCTTATGCTGTTACGAAATTGTATAAAATTAAAGAATATCCCATGATTGTAATTATATAAAGTAAAATATTTTGGTCATTTATTATTTTTATGTTGAACAAAATTATATTATGTAATCCTGTAATAAGTTTTTGTTTTTTGTGTTATATTAAAATTTACTTTTTTTTTATTTATCACTTAAATGTCCCGGCTGATTCCAACTATGCAGTGCTGTTAATTAGTAAAATCTTAAAGATTTTTTTTAAATAATAGATTATGTGACAATTATTGTTCTTGGCTTTATATCTGTATGTTTGATACTCGTTTTTTTTTTAAGAATAAAATATAATTGTGAAGTGATATACTTGTTTGTGATCAATTTATTGTGTAAATAACAAGTACTAGTTTTATTTTGTAATGTAACATTTCTTGAACCTGTGAATAAAATTGGATTCTGTGATTTTTATATACGATTTTTATTATTAGATAGATACTCTTTATTGTTTCCTTCAAAAGATTACAGTAGTAAATATATTATAAATACAAACAATTATAAGAAATGATCACATTGAGAAAACAATGGGCGACCTTATCGCTGAAAGCGATCTCTTCCAGGCAACCTTTGGATGGAAAGGTGTAATTATAAACAGTTTGATTAGAGGCACGATGAAAATTCTATCATTTTGTCTATTCTATTATAGGCATAGAATGGGTCACCCTTTCCCGTGGGTGTCGTAAGAGGCGACTAAGGAAGGGCGAGGGATAGGCAGCAGCGTCTCTTTTAAAACATTCTTAAAGGCCTAGTTGCGGTTGCCAACCTGCCTGTCAAGCGTGGCAACTACTAGCAAAACACCCCTTATGGGGAAGGCTTATGTTCAGCAGTGGACAGTTAACGTCTAACATAATAATAAAAATTTTTGTTCATTATGTTCTAAATACATTAAAATATCCTCAAGATTGAAATAGGGGAAGTGAATTGTATAATACATATATTGAATGTTTTAATTAGCATTCGTTATCATATGTATATATAAAATTCAAAGAGAAATTTTGGTGGATAGACTGCAGTAGTTACACGAGACATTCAATCTTAGCTCATTGTTTTTTTCTTGTGTTTATATGTACAGTCAGAAGCTACGTGTGTTTATGTTATTTGTCACAATTATATGTTTTGTATTTTTTTTTGATGGGTGAAAATGGTATGGTAACCCCGCCTGCGCTAACGGGTTATGCTGGCGGAGCGTAGGGTGATAGATGAGAATGAAAACAGGCCAGTTAGCCCATCATGATGAATTCATCAGAAATTAACCATGATAGTTTCGAGGGAGAACCGCGAGGAGGTCGACATGGTTGGGTATATTGCTAGAAATGGTATTCTCAGTCTCCATTATTAACAATCCCTTTCCCCCCTGTGTTATATTATTTCAACCGTTGACTATTCACTGCTGAACCCTACTGGCACCACACGTCACATTTAGGAAATGAATATTTTTAAAATGGTTGTGTTTTAGATGTTTTGAAATTTATCCAATATAGTAATACATGTAGTATGTCCAAACGTTGCTTATCTGACTTCTAAGTTTACTCATTTACATATGTACATGTGTCTACGTGTACATACGTACGTCATATCTCAATTGTTGCGTTGATATCTGTATTTGTATTTAAATATCTTTGGTTCCGATAATTTTCTTATCGATTTATTCAGTCTATAATATTATCTATAGGTAAATGTATAAATTTGATATACGTGTCTGATATGAGACAGTACCTAATCTTAAGTACCATATTATTATGACATTAATAGAGCTCGTAAATTTGTGGCCTTTATATAAAAATATATAAATTTACAGATAATTTTTGTTGGGTATGGTGGGCTATAATACACTTGAAGTGAGACGAAAACTAAATTTAATTAAGTATATCGACGGTTGAAAGGCAAAATTGACTAAGCGACAAAAATACCTAAACTGAGTTTTATATACCATTCGAATCGCCTGATTTTTCTGCGTCGATTGGTCTAGGTTTTAAAATTCTACGATAATTTTTTTGTCGGTTAAGTACTGCGTGATTTTAGCTAAATTTACAATTTTATGTTTACTTAGCGACAAAAAAAATGTCATTTAAAGAATATTTGCTACTTACGCCATTTTAAAAGTTGAAATATGGATTTATTCAATTTTTCATATCTTTGCTTTCACTTTTATTTGCAAGTAGGAATTTTTATTTGTTATGAAATTTCGTTTTTATCTGTTTTAGTATATTGTACCTATTTAAAAAAAATATAAATAATTTGGTTATGTAATTTTACCTGATGTAATATTTTGTGATATTGCAATTTATGTAATTTAACTAAAAATAAAATTAAAGTAAATTATACCTTAGATATTTTTACCTGTATAAAAATATGTTTGCTTTTAGCGGTATATATTTTTACTGCATATATTTGACTCGTTGAAATGAGTAAAAATGGCGCTTAGATAAATTTACCAGTACGCGAAATACAAATATTATATTTGGCAAATAGAAAATGTGTATGTGTTTATTACCATTGACATTGCAAGCACGATAATAGATAACACTGCATCAACTAAACAGGTGGCAATTCCTGGCACTACTATTGTATCGATTGATCATGATTATAATATCATAACGTTAAATAAATCTGATAACTCTGCATCAAATATATATAATTACGAAAATGAGAAAAACTCACGTTCTTTAACATCAGACCATGATGCACCATCTACATCGACCGGTTTGAGTAAAGAATCCAATGAATTAAATCCAATTAAATATAAAAGAATACCTAAGAAAGATGTTAGTTATATTGATTATATATCAGATCAAGAAGACTTTTCCATATTTTATGGCATAAATAATTCTGTTTATTAAATAAAGAAGTAACCTCTGAAGATGATAATAATATACAATGAAATAGAAGAAAAATAATAAGAAGTAAAACGTACTAAAAAATAACACTAAAACTAACGATGGTAGTCCTGATAACCAAGAACTAGAAATTATCGGAGAATCTACGTCCAAAGCTAAAAAATTAAACCTAAGAAAAGAACGAACTAAAAATATAAAATCTGGTAAAGAATATATTACAAAGACTGGTATAGTTAAAACAGCGCCTAATACTTGCTCTAGCAAAAAATCTGGTAATAACTGTGGTTCTCTATCTGAAGTAAGAAGAGGAAATTTTTCAATGATTTTTGGGATCTTGACCAAACACGTCGCCGTGATTGGTTAGTATCTATGTCAAAAAAGGATTCATCAAACGTAAATGTACAGACACTGATAAGCGCAACTACACTATTAAATATTTTATTAACAAAGGCGAAGGTAAAAAGTATGTTTGTCAACAATTTTTAGTAGCTACTCTGAACATTTCTGATAAAATAATTTACAATATTGTAAAAGATTCTACTTTTGGATGCACGAAAGAAAATATGAGAGGGATATCTGAACCCAGAAATATGTGAAACCGCTTTGGCCACAACAGAATATCAGTGTTTTGCTCTTTTGAGGGCAAAGCAATAAACTGAGTTGTGACCATTTTGTATTGTTACGGCACACGCACAAAAGGAAAAATTGTACTTGGTTTTATGTATTTTTTTAATAATTTCTCTTTTCTCGCTTTTTATAATTTATGTGCTTGTAAGTAACACAAATAAATTATATGTCTATCAAATAGAACTAAAAAAAAACTACTATAGATGCTGTTAAGAGATTTATCCAAAAATTACCAGCCCTTGTATTATAGTAGAAAACTGGCAGTATACAATATTTGCTTTTATGAAAATGGAACTCGTAATGTATTCTGTTACTATTGGGATGAAACTAATGGCAAACGAGGATCAAATAAGATTGTATCAATACTGAACAAATATATTAAATCTGTAGATACCAGAGGAAGTATCAAGCAATTACTTTTATATTGTGACTGTTGTCCCGGTCAAAATCGTAATCGTACTGTATTAGCAATGTTGCATTCATCACTACAGGAGTATGAAAATATTAATACTATTAAAATAAACTTTCTCTTGACTGGTCATACTTATATACCCGTAGATAGATTAAAGATAGAATATATTAAAGAATACAATTGTTTACCCACCATCTCAATGGTTTACAATTTTTGCATATTAATAATCTAACTGGAAAGATAAGTAAGATTTGTATTATGACTTTCAAAGAAGGATAAGCAAAACGTTAAATATAAAATATTCGTGAACACTAACGCTTCTTTTGATACTGAAATTCAATTTAAAACCAAGATATCTCTTTTATCTTGTTATCGATCGCAGCTTCCAATATCAAAAGCCAAATATGATGATCTAGTCAAACTTTTCACAGACGATGTTATTCCTAATTGCTTTGTTAGCTTTCCATGTGCAATAAATATCAAAGACACTCTAAACTAATCAGATATTAAAGATTGTGATTTTAATAATAATTAATTAAAATAGTTTATTAAATTAATTATAATAAAAAACCAGATAACCTATTATAACTTAAAGACAAAAATTAAAGACAGGTTTTAGATAAATTATGTGAAAGCAAAATTAGTCTTCTTATATTATGAATATTTTTGTTAATTTTATAGTATTATTTATTATTATTATTACATTATAAATAATTAATAATAATTAGTTTAAAGTCAGTTTGGGATAATTTTAGGAAAATTTATTAACTAAAGATACATATTCTGCTAACACAACAATCATACAAGAACTTACCTAGACAATTTTACTTGATTTTGTTCAATCTAATGTACGTCTTTATATAATTGTACTTGTAAGGAGATTTAGATGAATCAGGATAACGATATTTTTACTCGTTTCTGTTAACTTTTTAGGTAAATTTATATAATTTTACCTGTAACCAAATCTAGGTATTTTTTATCTAACCGACATAAAATACTTCAAATTTTAGTCTGGGATAACTTTCTTTGATATCAAAAAATAACAAGAAATATATGTTTTCCGTAACTGTTAAAATTATTTCGATATGTCAATCAGGTAAATAGTTATGATTTTTTTTTCAAAAATTTCAACTTTAAACCTCAATTAAAATTTTAACTTTGTAAAGTTTATTAAATGTCGCTTAGTTAAGGTTGCCTTTCAACCGTCGATATGTTAAAATTAGTGCGGGGGAAAAATGTAATCAAACTGTACGGGAATCAATATCAATAGGAGCGCCCAGTAACTACGTGCGAGCACGTCGACGGCACTTATTCGATGTTCCATTACGAAGAACAGAGTTCGCTAAGCAGGCTCCCCTATCTCTTGCATTGAAACTACTCAGTGATATTTTAAGCCAGTATCCGCAATTGGATGTATTTGCCTCCAACTTGCTGGAGTTTCGTCGAGTGACCACAGAGTATTTGTGTTCAGACGTTTTTTGTTTCAGTTGAATCTTTTTATATTATGTTTTGTTTAATATTTTTGTGCAATATTCCTTTTTATATGTTATTGTACTCATGCTTTCCTGGGTGAGCGTATTGGAAGACTGTAAGGCTCACCCAGTGGATGTAAGAAATAAATAAATTAATAATTTGTCGAATTAAAGCCCTATCCTGTTAATATTATGAATTCGAAAGTTTGTAACGATGATGAATTGATGTCTGTTACTGATATTTATTTCATACACATGAATATAGGCACAGATAATATAATACTATACTAGTGATACAGGGCTACATCCTAACTTATCACGTAGGATTCTTTACTCGAATAAATTGCTTACTAATTCATTCATTTGTAGATTAAAAAGAATATCTGAAATCTTATGAAGAATAATTTGCTAAGTATGTATAGAAAAAAGAAATAGGTATACGATACATTCGACAAAAAAAAAAAGAAAGAAATATAATCATAAAAATAAAAAAATTTAATGTTTATTTTCAATATAAGTACATAATTTGTTGTTTCACTTAATATCTAATCTCTTGAAACTCTCGATGAGTCGGTCCGCTTCTCGGAACCCAGCTTCCACGGCGCCATGCACGGAGTTGTGCCGGTGGTGGGAGGTCGCCTCGCCTCCAAAGCACACCACCGGGAACTTGTTGGTGCGGTACAAAGGCTCACTGAGAAGGATCGCGCTACTTCTATTCTCTTCTGAGGCGACGCAGCGGTATGAGTACGCGCCTCTCGCTAGAGGATTTGAAGCCCATTGCGATCTGATAAGAAGAAATATTTACTTACATTTTTGGGATGGCATTAGCTTCTGACATACAGTTAACGCTAATTTGGGAGTCAGGACTTTATGTAATTTTATTGTATATAGGTCAATAAAGTAAATACTCCTTATTATGCATATGGGTGGGGTAAGGAATCATTAGTAATGAGGTCAAACAGCCCCAATGTTAGCAATATACCCTATCAGGTTGAACTCCACACGGTTTCTTCTGGAAACCATCGTGTTAATTCTTGTGGAATTCATCTAACTAACCTGCTTTCATCGAGGGGAAAAGGATTGTTAGTAATAGAAACTGAGAATCCCATTGCTAGCAATATACCCAACCAGGTCGAGCTCCTCGCGGTTCTCCCTGGAAACTATCATGGTTAATTTCTGATGAATTCATCATGATGGACTAACTGGCCTGTTTTCATTCTCATCTATCACCCTTCACTGGTGCTCCGCCAGCGTATCCCGTTAGCGTAGGCGGGATTACCATACCATTTTCATCCATTGAAAAAAAAAACCTGCTTTCATCCTCGCCTAGTTATTTGTTACTAGTGGTTTGCCACTTTATACTGATAACGTAAATGGAGTTACCAACTCATTTTCATCGATAAAAACCATGTGTTTTTCTCTGGAAGCTATCGTGGTTGGTTTTTGTTGCATTCACGATGGCCTAACTGATTTGCTTTCATCCTTTCCTATCATTTCTCACTAGTGGTTTGCTAGCTTGTACCGATAAAGCAGGTGGGGTTAACGTTCTATTATCAGTCATTAAAATATTTATATTTATTGTTATATAATACACTTATAATATATACTTATATAATATACTTAATGATTATAAATTAATCATTAGAGCTACAAACCTTATAACTGATTTTATTGGAGTCACATCAAATTGTTTTTTAAAAACCACATTGAGCAGTTTCTGAATCCCATCCTTTACGCCTTCTAAGCTTACTTTCTCCATCAGTTCAGTGCCGTTTCCGTATGTCCAAGCTAGAAGAACGTTAGGTTGATGATCTACCGTCCAGAGACCATATATTTCCGTGATCCATTTCTCGTCGGCTGAAAACTTGCTTTTGTCTTCTTCCCGCCATAACACTGTGAAGTTGGCAGTTTTTGGAAACCATGGCCTCTCGAATTCAATGTAAATCTTGCCCAATACGGCCAATTGGAGATTATTAATAGTGTTTATTTTTTCTTCTGGCAGTGAAGGGTTGAAAAGTGTATTGTGTCTGAAAGAAATAATCATATTGATATATTTTATAAAATTATACCTGAAGAAGGTACATAAGTTTAAAATAAAAAGAAATCGTATTATATCCCCATATCTATGAACTTTTGTCAGTTTTACGAATAAATACATTGTTTATAATTATTTTTTCTTTTGCAATGAACGGTTGATCCGTGTGGTCTTGGTTTCGAGTGGGCTGCCCATTCCTTGGCCATGGGTGTCGTAAGAGGCGACTAAAGGAGGGCGAGTGATAGGCAGTAGCGTCCCTCTTAAAACATAAGCAAAGTTTAACTGCGGTTACCAATGCACTTGCCAAGCGTGGCAAGGACTGGCAAATCCCCCCAATAGGGGGAGGCTTAAGTTCAGCAGTGGACAGTTAAAGGCTGATATAGTGATTAAAAAGTTGTCAGTGTTGGAGAACTGGACTGTGGGTTTCTTGAGTGAACACTGGACTGTGGGTTTCTTGGATGTACGAAATAAAACTTATTGCAAAGATAATACAATACACGTCCATACACGGTGCGAGAGTGGACGGAAGATAGCTACAATCATACTATTAGTTACAAACTTCCTGTTGGAGTTTCCAACAGCCAGAAAGACGGGGGAAAGGAATTGTTAGTAATAAAGCCAAATAGCCCCATTACTAGCAATATACCCTATCAGGTAAACCTTCACGTGCTCCCCCTGGAAACCATCGTGGTTAATTCTAGTTGAATTCGTCAGGATGGGCTAACTGACCTGCTTTCATCCTCATCAGTCATCTATCACTGGTGCCCCGCGGTGTATATCGATAGTGCAGGTGGGGTTACCATACCATTATCACTCATTAAAAAAAAAAACAGCCATAAAGATGTAATTTTTATAGATAAGACTGCCCCCTTTTTCTGTGTGATTTTCCTATTAAGTTGTTCATTGTAATATGTCTTACCTTTCTTGTAAGACGCCTACAGACACCGTGACAATCACACTCTTGGCTGAATAAAGACTGCCGTCTGTACACTTGACATGCACCAGTGGGTTATTGGAGTCGAGCCCTGGTTGATTGGTGCCCCAACGGATGCTTTCTACTTCCTTGTTCAATAGAATCGGCACTGGTATCTCTTTTGAAGGGTCTGGGTATCTGTTCTGCAAAATATTAACAATGGTGTTAATACCTATAGATCATAAGCATATTATCGTAATTTCTAAATAAGTTAAAGCTTCAAATTACTCAGTGGGCTATGATGAAGGCTGTGCTTGAAGTTTCTTTGCGTAATAGAATCCGAAACGAGGGTATCCGCAAAAGAACCAAAGTAATCAACATAGCCTGAAGGATAAGCAACCTGAAGTGGCAATGGGCTGGTCACATAGCTCGAAGAACCGATAACTGATGGGGAAGAAAGGTTTTTAAATGACACTAGATGGAATGACGACCTCAAATGCATTGCAGGGAATCGGTGGATGCAAGTGGCTCAAGACCGTTCCTTAAGGCAGTTTATGGGGAGGCTTATGTTCAGCAGTGGACAGATAATGGCTGAGATGATGATGATGATAACGATATTGTTCCTTTCTTTGAAGTTAGTATGACAGAGACTACCATGTGGGTAGCTTCTATTTCTGTCAAATCGAGACTGTTTTTTTAATGGGTGATAATGGAATGGTAACCCCGTCTGCGCTATCGGGATACGCTGACGGGGCACCAGTGAGGGTAAAAGGTGAGGATGAAAAGGCAGGTCAGTTAGCCCATCGTGACGAATTCTATTTGAAATAACCACGTACCAGGAACCACGTGGAGGTCGACCTAATAAGGTGTGTTGTTAGCAATGTGTCAATTAGACCCCATTACTAACAACCCCTTTCCCCCAATCGTGTACGTTTTCAGCTATCAATAAATTTGTGTGTGTGTGTTAATCTATTAATAAGTAGATATGTTTTATCAGAGGGAGACTTTGTATAAAAGTCGTCTGCTTAGATGTCTCTGTCCTATTTGTGTTTCTAACAGGAATCAACTGTACTTGCATGGCTGTATTTCAGTTTGATGTGTATGGTGGAGAATTAAAAAAAATATCGGTAGGGGGCACATTTATTTATTTATCTTTTATTTATTTATTTAGACAGGTGGAATTTGCCGATGGTATAGTATGCCATATAGGACGGAGTTACAAAAATGCATCTACTTTTCCATGGAATTATTGTAATAAATGAATGAATGAAAACTATTGTTCCAAAGAATATACAGAAGAATCTATTATAAAAACTTTATGATGTTCATGTGTTTTCCAAAAAGCAAATGGATCATCTGCTGGAGAGGAATTTAAAATTGTGTCTGGTAACAGAAAAATCAAAATTTTTATGATGTCATAAAAAATGTCATTTGACTTTGCTACATACTCAATAAAACGTCCAAAATTGTTTTATATCCTCTGCCTTTCCAGTTTAGAAAGACCTCGCCGGCACATGGCCAGCACTCCTCCAGTCCCTTTAGAGATTTGCCCCTACGAGGGTCCCTCTGCCCACCGACGTGGTTAGACCTTTCAAACCACTCCACGAATGTTGCAGTAAGCTGACCATTGTTTTTTAAAAGCTCGTTGGATTTAGCTCTAGAAAAAAAAAAATGCAATCGATTGTTAATGTAAGAAACTAAGCGTCACTCATTGGTAGTTTTTGAAAAGATCATTGGTTGAGGTCTTTCATTGAAAACATTTACATTCAGAACGCGAAGTTTTGATTTTTTTAATACTACCGAAAGTAGCAAGCAAGCATACCCGTCTGATGGTAAACGGTCACTGTAGCCTATGGACACCTGCAACACTAGGGGTGTCATGTGCGCGTTGCCGACCCTGAAGAAACCTTAATATAACCTTTTTGAAAAGATCCCTATATTTCATTTTGTGTCTTTAAGCGGATTTTGTTTCGCAAAAGTAGTTTTTTGGGACAACCCAATAGTCATAAAATATAGGTACCAATGCGGGAGTCAACTGTATTGGTTACAAAAAAAATATTAATTAATATTCCCAAATAGGGTAGGCGTCAGGCAGGCGCCAGTCATAAAATGAAAGTCAAAACCTTGTGTATATAAATAAAAACATATTAAATTCTTTTTTATTAGGTTGACCTATACTGGCTCTAAATAATCTGGAAAACATGATGTTTGATTTATTGTTAATCTATTAAGTCAAAAACTTAAAAATAAAATAAATGGGTTATTTTACTACTTCATTACTTACTAAATGAAAGTAGTTTTGTACCTATATATAGCTTCATCCTAATTTATCATTCCTCAACTTGCCTCACCAGTGTATACCGACAAAACCCCCCAATAGGGGCAGGCTATGTTCACCAGTTAACGGTTGATATGAAGATATTATCATATATTAAAAAATTTAATAATACAATTATTAATAATTTATTAATATCAATTCAATCATTTTTTAAAATAGTTGAATATAAAATTTACTCACGCCTTTCTGACACATTCAGAGATTGAATTAGAGTTGTTTTTGTCAGCTTTCGCGACCTCATCATTGAGAGCTCCTATGATGGTCGCACCCTTTTCTCTATCCACCAGATCTCCGTTGGACAACACGTAGATATTCTCGAAAGGGTCCTGCCTTCCCAGCAGATCCAACGGGTTTGTAATCTCGAAGACTACGTTGTCTTTTTCACCGTGACACCTGTTGGGAAACTCATTAATGGACATAATAAAAGAACAGTGTAAATTAAGTTAGTGGTAAGCAGATTATTCCTAAGGCAAACTAGTTACCTACAAAGGGGCGCGCGCGCAAAAATATTAAACAAAGAAAAAATAACATAATTAATGAATGTGTCAGTAAATATCTATTAGGGGTGGGTAATATATAATATAGCAATACCTATATATTTTAGTTACAATATCTATGTACTGATCCAATAACGAATATGTTAAAGGTCAGTTATCCAAAAAATAATATTAGATTACAGTCTTTTCGTTTGCATACATTTTCGAAAATAGATATTAGACTGATATAGCGATATAAAAATTGGTGACGATCTTTTTCTTTATCATCAATGTCCACAGGAACCCAATATATAGATATCGGATTGGTATTCATATTACCCATGCCTAGTACCTACATACCGGGCGGAAAGGGATTGTTAGTAATGGAGACTGAGAATCCTATTGCTAGCAATATACCCAACCAGGTCGACCTCCTCGCGGTTCTCCCTGGAAACTATCATGGTTAATTCCTGATGAATTCATCATGATGGGCTAAGAGGCCTGTTTTCATTCTCATCTATCACCCTTCACTGGTGCCCCGCCAGCGTATCTCGTTAGCGCAGGTGGGGTTACTATACCATTTTCACCCAGCAAAAAAAAAGTACCTACTTATACAGTATAAAAGATATTTATACAATTTATCCAAAAGCCTACATGATGGAAAGTCGTCATCATCTATAGACATTAGACATGGCCAGTACCATAAACAACAGAGTATACTGTTTCATTCATGTACCCTTCATGCGTTGCCATTCCTGAGGACAAAGGTGTTATGCCTCTATACCCTGTTTTGTATTGTCATATCCCACCCTTTAAACGCAACTGTTTCACGGTAGAAACACGAATGGAATAGAGGTACATAAACTGTTTACAATTATTATTTACAGGGCTCTAATCAAATTGTTTATAATTACTCTTTTTGCCCTAAATGTTAAATTTTCCAAATCGGTTTATAACTAACGGAAATACAAGGTAATATGTGTAAAAAATACAACCGAATTGAGATTCTCGTTCTTTCTGAAGTTATTTGAAAATACATTTATATAAAATATATTACCAAGCGGCGCCGATGTCGACGGTGCCTGACGCGAACGGAACTGTACATATTCTGCCCCCGATCCTGTCGGCGGCCTCCAGACCCAGAACCTTCAGGCCAGCGTCGTGCAACCGCCTGATAGCTGCGACGCCGGACGCGCCACATCCTATCACTACCACATCCATTAGTTTCCTGGAAAGAGAGACGAGATGATGACTTAATTGACTTCCTGTTATTAAAAGGATTTTGTTTGTATGTATGCATGTGTGGATTTGAGCGGGAGTGAAATGTTTTTTTTTTTAAAGATGAGAATTGATGGTAACCTCACCTGCACTATCGATATACGCTGGCGAAGCATCGGTGAGAGATGTTAGGTGAGGATGAAAGCAGGTCAGTTAGCTCATCGTGACGAAATCTACAGATATTCATCACCATGTTTTCCAAGGGGAACCGTTTGGAGGTCAACCTGATAGAGTAGGATACTGCTAGCAATGTGACGGTTAGACTTCATTACTAACAATCCCATCCCACCCAGGGTAGGATGGTTAGAAATGCGATCTAGCGACACCATTTCCAGTGATCTAACTAGACGACCGCGTAACAGTCGCCTTTTGAAAACATCTTGGTTAACTCCTAGTGACTTTATCATTTAACTGATTTTACTTCATCTTTATCTGTAATCCATCACTGGTGGCCCACCAGGTCAAACCAATATTGCAAGCATAGTTACCATTCCATTTTTATCCTATACAAGACAGTCTACTTGTTTAAAATTGGTAACCGTCGTTTATAGATATAGGTAGATAATAACATGAAATATATTGTGACATCAATGGACTTCTGATATTGCCATTCCTGAGGACTTCAGTGTACTTGTAACTTCGTACCTTGTAATTTTACTATCACATCTCAACTTTCTAATGTGTGGCATAACTCGAGTGGCATAAACTCGAGTGGGAAAGAGGTACATAGGTACATCATACATACTCGTATCTGTCACGCCTGTCTCCCATTAGGGTAGGCAAAAACAATGAACGCTAAATCTTTCGATTCAAACAAACCTCTTTTGCTTCTACCATATTCATCAATCTTTTCATACACGCTCGCCGGTTACGGATATTTTTAATTTAACCCTTCTTCAGCACGTCGCTTTAGAAATTAGCAATACACTCTATAAGGTCGAGTTTCAGGTGGTTTTTCCTGGAATTATCGTGCTAAATTCCAGGTGTATTCGTCACGACGGGCTACCTGACTTGCCTTTTCATTCTCACTTATCATCTCTTACTAGTGTACCGTCAGCGTATACCGTTAGAGTAGACGGGGCTACCATTCCATTATTATCTATTTAAAAAAAAAAAAAACCTAAACATTCCGAACCCAGAGGTAGCATAATAAAAAATATTTCTATTCTATAAAAGTATTAGTATATATAAATACTTGAATGTTAATTTTAATATTTTTTTTTTATACAACTTAGAATGAAACAAACAAGCTGACGGCCCACCTGATGGAAAGTTGTAACCGTCGCCTATAGACATAAACAGTACCATGGACACAACAGAGTCAGAGAGACAATGTTTCGCCCATGATACCCCCATTTATCATTCCTGAGTGTTTATTCCTCTGTATTTAACGCCATATCCCACCCTTCAAACCGAAACACAGCCATGCAAACACAACTGCTTCACGGTTGAAACACGAATGGGATTTTATATGATTTGTTAATTGTTCATTGTAACTATAGAGTGGGAATAACTGTGGTCAGTTTATCATATTATAATCATCATTTATAACAGTGACTTGCTTTTATTTCATTATAGCCCTTTATACAACATTGAGGTAGAAGCTGTTAATTTAAATTTAATGTAATTGTACAGGAATATTTTTTTCTTAATTTAACAATGCTGAATTGTGAGAATAAATTAAGAACAAATACGTGGGCACAGTGGCGTAAAAATAGGATGGCAAACAGCGCAAAATGCTACTCCTCTGAGGGTTTTGAGGGTTGAGGGACGGTTTCAGAGGTCATAAGCACAGGAAGAATGTAATATTTATTTAATACATAAATTAGTAAAAAACATATTGAAAGACTTTAAATATTTTAATATTTAATTAATAATTTAATATTTTAATATTTAATTAATAATTTAATATTTTAAATTACTTTAAAAATTAGAGCAAAGTTCTTATTTTTTTTTGTAGTCACGTACCACTTTCACAATTTAAACAATTCCACGGACCTCTGTCAAAAATATAGAATATATTTTGTACTAATTAAGAGAGGAGGGATTGTTAGTAATGGGGACGTTAATCCCCATTAGCAATATACCCAGTCAGGTCGACCTACATTTGGTTCCCCCTGGTAACCTTTTCGACTAATTCTTGTTGAATCCGTCACAATGGAACAACTGACCTGGTTCAACCTCACCTATCACCACTCACTGATGCCCCACCAGCGTATACTCATAACGCAGCTGGAGTTGTAGGTTTCAATGGGGGACCACGTAGAGGTCGACCTAGTAGTGTATCGATTTCTTCCCGACTAGGGCATAACGACCAAAATAAAAAGTACCTAATTTACCCACGTTCTTCATGCCAAATATTACTATAGTTTATGTCAAAATACATGCCGATTGTAGTGGGGGATTGGATTTTCATTAATGGGGACTACTGGCCCCATTAGCTATTATATTATTATACTATAGCATTGTTAGCAAGTCGACCTACAAGGTCAGCTTGATCTACACGTGGTTATCTTGTGTTACCCGGCAAACGTTTATTGGGTGAGTTAGTATTAATACAAAATCTTTACTAATATTACAAATGTGGAAGTGAGTTTGTTTGTTACCTTATAGCACTTTAACGCCTTAACAGATAACTATGACATTTAGCATCAATACACATAGTCAAATACTATATAGATGGAGAAGGATATAGGCTGCTTTTTATCCCGGATAATGAACAAAACCCCAGATGCATTCAGAACGAAGTCCCGGTTAAAAGCTAGTAAACAATAAATAGTATTTTTTTTTTATGGGTGAAAATGGAATAGTAACACCGCCTGCGCTAACGGAATACGCTGGCGGAGCACCAGTGAAGGGTGATTGATGAGAATGTAAACAGTCCCGTTAGCCCATCATGATTAATTCCTTACGAATTAACCATGATAGTTTCCAGGGGGAACCGCGAGGAGGTCGACCTGGTTGGGTATATTGCTAGTAATGGGATTCTCAGTCTCCATTACTAACAATCCCTTTCCCCCAATAGTATAATATTAATAAAGGTTTAGTATATTCGAAAGGCTATACGTGCAAATAGAATGCATTATACTCACGCCACTGTTGCGACAGCAGTAGTACAAGCTATGGTAGCACAGAACTCGGGGTATTGTCACTTAATAAAACGTGCATCCAGCGAGAGCGGAGAGTGGTTAACTGATATATGTTTGTATGGACACAACACGGTACTTGACCTTACACTTCGTTCGAATTACGCAATTTGTGATAACATGTTAAGATGAAGAATGTATTCGATGCTATAGGGATTATTTTTTTTTTATAATATTTTCATAAGATAATTTTTATTATCTAGATAATATTTTTTTTTACAATTTTTAATGAGTTATAAAATTGTAATTGTATACGTAGATAACCTTACTAGGTAGATAATTGAGACTGAGAATCCCATTGCTAGCAATATACCCAACCATGTCGACCTGCTCGCGGTTCCCCCTGGAAACTATCATGGTTAATTCCTGATGACTTCATCATGATGGGCTAACTGGCCTGTTTTCATTCTCATCTATCACCCTTCACTGGTGCTCCGCCAGCGCATCCCGTCAGCGCAGGCGGGGTTACCATACCATTTTCACCCATCAAAAAAAAACCTTACTAGGTAGGGGGAAGGGATTATTAGTAATGCGGACTACCAATCCCATTGCTAGTAATATACTCTGTCAGGTCGACCTCCATGTGGTTCCCCTTGGAAACCATCGTGCTGGATTCTATATGTATTCATCACGATGGGCTAACTGACCTGATTTTTCATTGTCACCTATCATCCCTCACTGGTGCTCCGTCAGCGTATACCGTTAGCGCAGGCGGGGTTGCCATTCCATTATCATTCATTAAAAAAACCTAACTAGGTATAGAAATATGTTGTGTCTATATTATTATTATTGAAATACGGGCATTTTCAGGCAGAAAAAACTGTAACACTGAGGCCTTTCCATGATCTTTAGTGCTCGCCCTTTTTTAATTCGCTGTTAATTCCTATCCAATGATAGGAATTTTGAAATGTTCTTTATAGCGACGTTTTTTATCTGCTCAGGATTTAGTGTGTTTTCCAAAGGAGATATATCGTTTATGTATGAGTGGCCTACAGCCACATATTAAGTGCTGCGGCGTTTCTTCCTCATTGTGACAAAATCTGCAAACGCTTTTTGGGCAGACGCCTAGTTGGGCCATATGCTTGTTTAGTTTACAGTGTCCAGTGAGAGCCCTTGTTAATACACATATTATTTTTACTCAAAAAAAAAAAATATTGTCTTGTCTCTATAAGTTATTTATGAATTTTTGTTTCGTAATTCAGGACTGAAATAAGAAAATGGAGTTTAAAATAAAAGAGTACGATCTGGAAAAATATTGGCAGTCACACGCATATTAATTGTAGCGGAATAAAGTAAAATAATTCTAATCAAATAATCAGTAATATGTACCTTTATTTCCATTAGTCACGCCATAATTTAATTCATCTTTTTTTTTAAATATTTTCTAATACTTTCTAATATTTCATAAATAATTAACCAAGATTGACCTGATATTATTTATTACCATATTATATGTATATTATATATATATATATATATATATATATATATATATATATATATATATATATATATATATATATATATATATATATATATATATATATATATATATATATATATATATATTATAATTACATCACCATTATTAGACTAAAAAATATTTTCTACAAATAATGTATATGGTAAAATAACGTTTTACGTACGTCAGCTAGTATGTATATATACATAAAAATCAGTTTACTACTTTAATTGCTAAATCAAAAGAACTGATTATTTCATAAATGAAGTCGGTTTTTTTTAACAAAATATTGAATTATTAGTTGTTACATATTGCTGAGACGAACAACATTTTTGATAATTAACAAATAACTGGAAAATAAAATAGATACACTAAAGGCCTGTAAAATAGTGTAGGACGATCCTTTACTAGAGTGACGGCATGACATCTGTTGCAAGGAGTCAGTGGATGCAGGTGGCTTAGGTCCGTTCTTTATAACGGTCTATGGGGAAGGCTTATGTCCAGCAGTGGACGGGTAATGGCTGATATGATGATAGGTCTGTAATAATGTTGCCAGTTACCGTCGTAGTGACCGTAACACTCGACATGTACCCATTTTACCGAGCACATTTGGGATACTGACGAGCCTACCGTCGTCCATCGATCAGAGGGAGACTTCGTACAAAAGTCGATTGCTTGAGTACCTCTGTCCCATTCGTATTTCAACTGTGAAGCAGTTGTGTTTGCATGGCTGTGTTTCGATTTAAAGGATGGGATATGGCGTGAATTTACTGGGTACAGAGGAATAACACCTGAGTCCTCAGGAATGGCAACGCATGAGGCGGGCGAAACAGTATACTCTGTTATGTCCATGGTACTGCTCATGTCTATAGGCGACGGTCACCACTTTCCATCAGGTGGGCCGTCAGCTTGTTTGCCATTCTAAGTTGTATAAAAAAAAAATATTTAAATAGTATGAAATGCTTTTCAGACACATTCTTGTCCTTATGGCTAAGATAGCCGTATGCCGTGATAATATTAACTGATACTTCTTTTGACTAAGTTTTATCAATCATATAATGGTTTCTTTTACAAGGTTACACTAAAAGAAACCATTATGGCTACTTCAGGATAAGACTACCAATGTCTTCTTGGTAGGTACCTAATTTTGTTTTAACAGTACTGTTTTTAGAATGTTCAATAGATTATGTTGTATTAAAGTACCTTACCTACATTAATGATAAGACCAAAGACATTGATAGAGGTAGATGACGCGACGTGAATATGTACCTTAAGCGCGTTCATAATGAAGAATGGCAACATCACAATTAACTGTCAATTTTCAAAAAACAATCAATAAGATGAATTAAATCAATAAGATGAAATAAACTACATTATATGAGGGGGAAAGGGATTGTTAGTAATTGAGACTGAGAATTGCATTGCTAGCAATATATCCAACCATGTCGACCTCCTCGCGGTTCCCCCTGGAAACTATCATGGTTAATTCCTGATGAATTCATCATGATAGGCTAACTAGCCTGTTTTCATTCTCATCTATCACCCTTCACTGGTGCTCCGCCAGCGTATCCCGTTAGCATACCATACCATTTTCACCCATCAAAGAAAAAAATACATTATTTTACTGTTTCTGATTGATTATTTAAAAAGTGCTCTACCTACGAAATAAAATGTTAATCATGGAGTACGTTGTATTTGTGAGTACTAAATGTGTGTAAATTTACTATAGTAAGTTGCTTTAATTTTCGTCCTTAATAGTTTGCTTTTTAATTTTTTTTTATTAAAATCCAAATTCTTAAGGACGGCTTATTAAGTATATAGCTTAATAAGCAGGATGAACGTTTTAGTTTTAAATAATCAGTCAGAAATGTTGAAAGTTCTTCAATTGTTTTTGATAAATTGATAGATAATTGCGACGTTGTCACAGTTCGTCGAGCTAATATTATGAACTCTCATAATTTATTTATAGAAGATTTAGATCTAAATAAGAGAAAGAAGAAGAATAAGAGAAATATATATGGTAGATTGTGTCTTCACTATTTGTGAAACACAACATTTGTTTTTTTTACAGCTACTTGGACAAAAACAGCGAAATTTTTTGAATTTTGAAACTTGTAATTGGTGACTTTCAATATACAATTCACTATTTATCAATATTAGACTTTTAAATTTTCATACATACTGTTATAATATTAAACATGTGAACTGTGTGTTGTATGAAAAATCATCACGCTTCGGCCTATAGAGGGCTGGACGTTTTTTAACGCTCGACACTCCATCTAGATGTGATTTCAACATTTATTGAAATCCGGCGTGCAGATATAGAGTGTATATTTGTAGTATAAAAATGTTTTTTTTTTTTATTACACCACAATGGCGGAAATAAACATACAATCAGTTTGCAAAGCCAAAACCAAAAAAGGAATGGTAATTCTACACCATTAAGAGATTATAGGTGAGAACGAAAAGGCAGGTTCGTTAGCCCATTGTGATGAATACACCTCGAATTCAGCACATGTTTTCCAGGGGGAGCACGTGGAGGTCGACCAGACAGGGTACATTACTAGCAGTTGTACTGGTAGTGCGCATTACTAACAGTTCCTTCCCCTCCAATTAAATGTTTTAATTGGAGGATTACACGAGAGGGTACTATAAATATCATGATGAGATTCAATCGAGTTCCCATATAGTTATCTCCCGGTAGGCCGGAGCGGGGTGGAGGGAGGCTTACAATGAGTTTTTCCAGTGGCGTAATGAGTACAGGCAAGACTCGATTTTCAACATTCTTAGACGAGCCGTTTGCGACACGTGACGTACTTAGATCGTGGGATGGTCCCGCGTACAGAGAATGCAATCACTACATCATTTAATAATCGTCACTGTTCTTTTATTGACAAGACCATAAAACGACTGTATACAAGTATTAATACAATAAAATAAAATTATATTCTTAATGTAATATATCTATTTATATTAAAAAAAAATATCGATTGATCAACGGTGTCTATTATCAGAAAGGACTTAGGTACATTATACTGTAAAATTCAAAAATTTTACGAACTTGGTTACACAGATTTCATACAAGCATTTTTTTTGTTTAAGTGACGCGTGTCTTGTAGCGCTCCTTCTATCTTGTCCTTTTTTTATGCAAGTTAGAATATAAAACATGCTGACGGCCCACCTAATGGAAAGTAGTAACCGTCGCCTATAGACATGAGCAGTAGCATGAACATAACAGAGTATACTGTTTCGACCATGATATCCCCAATTCGTTGCCATTCCTGAGGACTAAGGTGTTATACTTCTGTACCCTGTACATTCACTGCCATAGCCCACCCTTCAAACCGAAACACAGCTATGCAAACACAACTGATTCACGGTAGGAACATGAATGGGACAGAGGTACTCAAGCAAACGACTTTTGTCCAAAGTCTCCCTTTGGTAATGGTATTATGATATCGATTCAGCTCCCTGGAAATAACCTTAAATATTCCAATATAAGTTCGGGTGTAACAAATTAAAATATTCATGACTTAAATAAATGCACAGAGCTATCTTTCTTTTCGGAAGTTATTTAAAAATCCTTTAAATTACTAAATAATTAATTGCGTTATAATTACGTATTTAAATATTGTTTACTAAATAGAACAAGTAAGGATGGAGTTTGGTATCAAATAGGTGCATACATGTTGTGGTTAAGGATATCCTTGTAACAAGATCGGATTACTGTCTGGCGTGCGTCTCGTCCGTTCGAATCTTTGCGCTCAACGGTCACAAGTTCAAACTTAACGTTAACTGATTATTTTAGTAATGGGGACTAGTGGCCCCAATACTAGTAATATCGGTAAGTTTGAGTCAATATTAGTTATAGGATAAAGGGGGGGAACGGATTATTAATAATTGGGTCAAATAGCCCCATTACTAGCAAAATACTCTGTCAGATCGACCTCCACGTGGTTCCCCCTGGAAATCATCGTAGCTAATTCTAGTTGAATTCGTCAGGATGGGCTAAATGAATTGCTTTCATCCTCACCTGTCATTCTTCACTGGTACCGTGTCAGCGTATACCGATAGCGCTGGCAGAGTTACCATTCCATTTTTACCCATTAAATGAAAAATATTAGTGACGGTTTTAATAAGGTAACTTATGTGGTAAGAGACAAGTTTTTGTAGAACACGATATGACCGCACCTGCCTGCCAGGTGATGCACATGTTAGCGCCTACTGGGGTCTGTGACTTGCGAGATAAAAGGAATTAATTCAGATTAGTAACTTTCTAGGATATTACCTGTATTATAAGGTCACGATCCTCCATAATCATGAAAATAATATATATTGCACAGCTGTGTTTCAGTTTCAAGGGTGGGATATGGCAGTGAATTTACAGGGTACAGAGGAATAACATCTGAGCCCTCAGGAATGACAACGCGTGGGAGGTTATCATGGGCGAAACAGTATTGTCTGTTATGTCCGTGGTACTGCACATGTCTATAGACGATGATTACCATTTTCCATCAGTTGGTCCATCAGGTTGTGTACCATTCTAAGTTGTATAAAAAAAAATTAAAATACAAATCATGTACGTGCCATCAAATGAAGATATAAACATTGTATGATTACATACATTGTTGTAATGGAATACAGTTTTTATGGTTTAATATGTAGGTGTAAGATATAGTCACGTTAAAACAAGGCTAACAAGATAGTAAGTTAGTATTCTGCACTATAATTAATAGTAAATGAGCAGATACAAAAATGTACAAGACACATGTAGCATTTGAAATGAAATAACTACATCTGAACGTATGACATTTAAGATTAATTGACATTATTTATTATAATTAGATCATTGTGTGTCTGCTCTAAAGAAGGAAGGTGGCGAGACTAAAATAAAGGACAGAAATATACAAGACCTTTTGTTTCTTATGGCAGTCTGTAGAGGAGGCCTATGTTCAGCAGTGGACAGTAAAAATATTTGGATATAAGAAACGTCCAACAGTTAATATAGTATTTAAAATTAACGAAGTATTCGTTGAAAATAGAAATTTAAAAAAATGAGGTAAATAGATTCAGATCACTACAAAATTTAAAAAAAAATTATGTAGGTAAAGTTATTCTTGCTTAAACATGTTCTTTTGATTAAAATATCATAATCGGTGTAGATATAGTGTAATATGTATAAAACTGACAGATTTGAATATCCTGAATAAGACATCTGAATGTTTATTATAAAATACGAGTATGTAGGTGTTAAATCAATTTAATTACAGAAAAGATATTACAATTTAGAAGCCAGTGTTAGTGTCTAATTATGAAATTGAAAAAAAAAATACGTGCTTTAACAAAAAAAAAAAAAAAACTTTTTGTACAAACCGTTCTACAACCAACCATAAATTACATCAATCTATTATCAATATCTCGGAACAAAAGGCGATCTATTAATAATGTATACATTAGACGGAGTAAATATTTACATAAAGTCTTGCACATAGCTATTCATCATATCATCTCGAAATGTGCAATATAAACAAGATAATTGAAAATTATTATGTTTACAAAACACTACTAGACTGTACCAATATTATTGTTTTGTTTAAGCAATAGATCCAATTGTCTTTCGAGTGGCATTATTCCATTGTGAGGGGAAGTTAGGTAGAGACAAACCCTTGCGGCGGGCTGAGTGCAGTGCGCACCCTGCACCGGTGTGATTGACATAATTACGCTCAGACGCAGGTAAGGCCGTGAGGGGGGCTCGAACTCCAAGTGATCTGATCAGTCGACTCGCGTACGTCGCTCGTGCGGCTGTGTCGCGTTTTACGTTAACGGAACTCGAAACCGGCCCGAATGCCGGAGAACCAGTCGGCGGGATGGCGGGTCAGGGCGTGAGAGCTGCGCCATGTTGAAGCATGCGCAGCGGCCGCCGGCGGCGAATGATGCCGACCACCGCTACCAGAACATGCCGCGGCGGCCGCACCACCACCTGCCCCTCAACGTCTCTACCTTAGACTCTTCTAAGCATTCTATTGGAGGGACGTCCGCTAGCGTCAGCCCTGGAGCGCAGCCGCCTAATCCAACAGTCGCTCCTGTGCCCGTTGTCGCTCCCATCCCAGTGGCATCACCTCCAAAGATAGCCAATGGAACTGCTGCTGGTCTACCGGTCACCAGACCGGCCACCAATAGACCGAGGAGCAACCGAGCTGCAACGGAAGAAGCTTTAACTTCTCTAGCTTTACTGTGTCTCGTCAGTTTACTCTTGGCGTTGCTGGCCCTTTTGTTTTTGCTGAAAATATCAGCGCCGGCCACGAGTGCCCCCGAGGAGTTTGCAGTGGTGTACGAAGTGACGTTAGCATTATGTGCGTTGACATTATCACTGAACCTTTGCTGTCTTCTGGTGTGTGCAATACAGTTTCTGTTCGCCGTGAAGTTGGTACACTCGCCTTCGGCACCGAACGGCCGGTGAGTTTGCCAAATTACATTAATGAATCTACTTTAAGATCATCAATCAAATTGCGGTTTCGGAGCTCATAGGTGCGCCTTAACCGTTAAGAATGTCTTCAAACTGGTTATACAGATTCTTTAAATATATGGAGACTAGTGTGTGTATACAAAATTATCTACTTAGGGCTTGTCGCAACAAGTAACGCCAGCACGTTCTATAAAACAAGAGTTCCGCGTCCAAACAGTCTTATCTCAATTCAGGTTATCTGTTACACAACGCGTAACATTAAGGAAACGCTGTTTCCGGGACGTTTTTCTAATTGGTTCATTAATCTTAACTGTTCATATCAGTATTCTTGATTCTCTGTCTGTTAACATCACATTGATTTAGCATTTATTGTATATGATGCATGAGTGCAACGAGTTTGTTTATTGATTAAACCAGTAGGCAGGTGCTAACGGTTCAGAGTGGCGGTTATTTGTGAATGGTATGGTAAAAAATATTTCGAGCGCGACGGTTGATAAAGTTGCTAGCACGCGCCTTTCGTGTTATTGTTATTTTGTCCTGTTTTATAACGAAATTACCTTATTGTTCATAATTTTAGATGATCACTTGAATACTCATATACTACATTTGGTCACTCATAATTTGAAAAATAAAATTATTTAAGCTCTTCAGCAAGAAAAGGTTACTACAAATAGGATAGGTTTTTTATAGGATAGGTATGATGGATTGCTATGATAACAGCTTCAATATCTTTTCCTTAAAGAAAAATAAACAATATTCTAAATACATATTAAAATTGACGAAGACTGAAAAACATTAGAAATATTCCTTACGGTAATGGTTATGTGCTGGGGGGGAAAGGGATTGTTAGCAATGGAGTTTGACAGCCCCATTGCTAGCAATATGCCTTATTAGGTCGTCCTTCACGTGGTTCCCCCTGGAAACCATCGTGAACAATTCTTGTTGAATTCGTCACGACGCTAAATGACCTATTTCATCCTCACCTATCATCCTTCACTGGTGCCCCGCCGCTGTATACCGATAGCGCGGGTGGGGTTACCATTTCATTATCATCCTTTAAAAAAAATAGTTACTTGCTTCAGATTAATTAATTTTTTCTCAGAATTTGAAATATCTTTTAGGGATATTTTTTTTTTTTTTTTAATTTAAATTATATTAATAATTGTATCTCGTTTCGAACTGTGTAATTTTAGGCCTAATCTTTACCGGTGTGAGTCTGCACCCTCCATTGCCAAGGCATCTTGTCTTCCGCATTTAGATAGTCATGCTAACAGTTCCAAGCTAGTCTCCGGCGACCGCATATTTCCGAGAGCAGTGGAACGCTAGAGCATTATGTTGTTAAATTGTAGTTGGTAACTATTGAAATGTAAAAATACCGGTTGGCAAATCGTCAGATTCTATGTATGAAACCGGTCTGTAAGGTCTTCCGCGGTGACTGTATTGACCTTTACGAATATTTTCAAATTAGAACTGCCATTCATTAGACACAATGCACAATAAATATGCAGAATAGTAGACAATAATAATTTAAAAAGGAAAATATAATTCTTATTTATATTCATGTCAGTTGATGTCCATTATTTTGCCATATCCATTTTATGATATATACGTAGATCAGCTTATCCTGACCTATGTTCCTATCAAGAACATTACCAGAGGGAGACTTTGTACAAAAGTCGATTGCTTGGGTGCCTCTGTCCCATTCGTGTTTCTACCGTGAAGCCATGCATGCACTACCATGCAAACATAACTGTGTTTGCATGGCTGTGTTTCGGTTTGAAGGGTGGGATATGGCGTGAATTTACAGGGTACAGAGGAATAACACCTGAGTCCTCAGGAATGGCAACGCATGGGGGGTATCATGGGCGAAACAGTATACTCTGTTATGTCCATGGTACTGCTCATATCTATAGGCGACGGTGACCACTTTCCATCAGAAGGGCCGTCAGCTTGTTTGCCATTCTAAGTTGTATAAAAAAAAAACTTTATCTCCATGTACACTAATATCAAAATTCTATCAGTTCCTTTATAAAGTTAGGTGACATTCATAAATCCAAGTTACATCGGTTACGGGATTTGCGGAGGTAAACACAGAATTGGAAATTGTGAATTAGGTATACAAAAAAGAAAATCGACGGGAATTCCGACGAGAATATTTCAAGATCATGATTCTGTAAATCTAACTGGATAATAATACTAAAATATTGAGCTATTACAAAACATGGTAATTATTTTACCCGGATGGGTTAATATTCCCTTAAAATTTTACATAATACTTTGGAAATATATTTACAATATTCTTTTCAATGAATTATTTATTACTTATTAAAAGATTATTTAATTGAGAAAATAATAAAAATATAAGATTTAAAACTTTAAAACCTATTGGGGAATAATAAACACTTTTTAATCCTGATAAATAAAATAATTTTAAACAATGTAAATGTAAACGAAGTCACGGATGTAACATGCTCTCTATCTACTCAGAATAGCAAATAAGTTAATTGCTCTGATAGAAAATGGTAATGGTCGTTCATAGATATGAGAAAAACCCATGGATATTATAGAATTGAGCATTTAACCTCTCGCTCAAAAGACACATGAGTACACTATATTCCGTAAAGTATCTTTCCATTGGTGTTTTTCAATTAATGATAATGGAATAATCCTGCGAGAATGGCGAATTCATTCAATCCATAATTTACGATGGTTTTCAGGGGGAACAGGGGGTATATAATACTAGTAATAACCCCTGATCACTAGGCTCCCTCTTCCATCTCCTTCGTGGTTTATAATGTCACAGCCATATCCAAATGTTCATATCGATACAGATTCATAGACTCATGGAAGCACAGTCGTATGGCGGTGACAAAACGTGTGGATTAGAGGGCCTACCATGAAATGTTTTTCGAAATTTCGGAGCCAAACGAAACACAAATTCTATGTTAAAATTATATACGAGTAATACATGCCGTTTGGAAATATTAAAAATGTTAACATACTGTTTCTTTGGACTTTTATGATAGGATGTATGACGAACGAAATGTTAAACTCCATTTAATGGTCCGATTTTAGTATAAACAAAAACACGAAATTGAGTCCGAAATTTCGGAATTTCATTTCATGGTAAACACGCTGATGTAGGTATCCATGCAGAAAAATGGTATATAACAAAATTACATAGAAGATAATTGTTAACAACCTGAGAGTATATTTAATTTAAATTCTGAAGGCTTTCATGTCCGGGATTAATGCATACATTGCCACTTTAGATTAGAACATAAATTGTTAAAAGACTCTACCATCATCGAAAATTCAAAAGAATCAAGATATTTTGTGTGCATGTTACGTAATGTGCATTATTTATGTGTTGATATTGACGAATGATTTTTGATAGAAAGGGTAGACCTTCCTATCAAAAAATAGGGTAGGTCTCATATATTATAGAATATTGAATTTTTTGTCGAAAAACATATTAAGGGCTTAAAAGAATATTCCAGCAAAGATTCCCAACAATTACATTTAGATTTATATTTGAATACTGGACACGAAAGGAGAATGGCAATTACGTTCGTTAGATACAAACAAACCTGTTTGAAAGACGAACACACTTGTGATCATAATTTATAGCAAAATCAGAGGCAGGTGTAGGTATTTTGTTGCTTGTTGCAGCCTTCTTATCTCGTATTGAAACGTATTCCAATAAATACATTGATGTTTTATTAAAGTCCACTACTTTGGCTTACGAACATAAGTAGCGATGTAACGAATCGTTCCAAATAACACGTTTCGGTAACGATGATTTTAAGTGCATTAAACTCAGTTACGTGGTACGAATTAACGAAAGACAAAATAAATTCACATGGAAACGTAGTACTTGGAGTAAACGCGGATGCACTGGAATGTGCGCATTGAAACCGAAAATAACTTATAAACGTGCGTAAAATAATGCGATCATATATCAAATGAATTTATAAACATTATGCATTGCAATGTTGTATTCGTAATTGTAATGTTAAACATGTTATGTTTTATATAATTTCTTATTATTAATAAACAGCAGTTTCCCGCGCTTTATCTGTTATCACTGTTCTTGTGGGAATTCTCTGGGAATTTCTTCTTAATGCCTCACTTAGGTTCTTTAAAGTACTTCTATGCAAAATTTCAAAAATATTTTATATACACCAATAATAAATACGATCAACAAATTACAATTAATGAATTTAAGACAGTCAAACTTAGCAATATGTCATTATTTTCAAACTGTTATGGGGTTTTGTAGCTGCTCGTACTGAATGAACTGTCGAGGTCACTCAGCAAATATTCCGACCGGTTTCTTATAGATACACCGGCATTTCAAAGTGTACATGAACACACGACACGAGAAGAGATTAATTTCACTTTTGTGACAACTATGACCGTTTCATGTCTTGTTTCCTGTTTGTTAGCATCGTAGGAATATTAGTCCTTTGCCAATAAAAAAAAAAACTATGTCCATAGATTTAATTTGCAAATTGTGACCGTTAATTGTTAATATACAATACGCCATTTTGTTTTTTGAAGCTGTCTAATATTTTGGCGCTAATATTGATGTGGTAAATAATGGATAATTTCGATAGCTGATAAAAGAATTGTCATGTTATTTACTTATAAATTTTTAGTATAGGTACTTATTTAGCTTTAGTTACAGAAACAATTAAAGTGTTTAAACCCATTGCTTTGTATACGCGGATTTTAAAAGTAGGAAAGTCAATGAAATAGGCCGCTTCTAGATAAATATGTATGATAATTAATATAGGATGTATCAAGATAAAACCTACACCAGTTTTTAAGCTATCCCTTCAGAAATACAACAGTAAAAACCGTATGCAATTTCGTAGTCGTTTTTGCGTTATGCCAGAACAAATATATAGGCCAACAAACCAAATTTCGAAGTAATGTTTTGGTTTCTATTACATATCTTAAATTTTTCTTAAATATTTCCCATGTA